TGGTGTAGCTAACCAGGGAGTTGTGGGCATACTCAAACCAAGGTGGGTAGAGCAGGAGGCAGGGAGTCGGGACGCCACACACCGCAGAGAGGCCTCCAGATCCTGATTTGCCCACTCTATGATAACCGGAGGAGAGGTTGACCGAGGTCCCCAGGGCCTGACAGAACGTTTTCCACACCTGGGAGGCGAACTGGGGACCTCTGTCAGAAACAGCATCCTAGGGAATCCCAGGTGTGCCTCATCTGTAGCCCAGGACCAAGTAGCCAGCCATAGCTCCAGCCACACACACACACACCCTGCAGAGAAACACAAAGGGAGGAAGAAGAACAGAAGGCACAGAAAACCAAACACAAAACCCCCCACAAATATAAGAATACACAAACCCAAGACCATATTTGTAATGCTTTCAAAACCAAAGGAAAACTTTTCACTCTTACCATTAATTTTAATATATATAATACATAATATTGAGCTATTTTATTATTAAGCATTCCTCAACTGGTTACACACTGAAGGAATCATCCTGTAGATGTAAACATTCATATTTACTGCTGTTTATGTAGCAACATCCACTGGGTAATATTTCCATGAGGCACATGAGCCAAAGAAATACCTATACCTATATCTACCATGCTGACATGTGATTTTATCTTAAACTCTAAGGATGCTTCTCTATGCCCACTTTATTGAGAACATGAGTTCATATCAGTGTTTCATGCATATAATTTGTGTGCATCCACCCATAAATATGCTCCCAAACAAAAAGACATGTCCAGTTTTTAATTTTTTATACTCAAACAGACATGGCTATGTAATGACTTGGTCTCTTTCCATTTCAGGACCATTTCATACTGTCATATTTGAAACTGCCTGACTTTAATGTGCTGTTATACAGGGTCAGAGGCTGAAGGAGAAACTAACACCTGTACTGAATCTGCTGACTGAGAGCTCTCGGGTACACAGGGAGACGCGTCACTACTTACGGCAAAAGGTAGTGTCTTTTTAATTTCATTTTGTGAAAGTGGAGCAAATACACTCACTTGGACTCAAAGATGAACTAATCACATTTTGGTGTGCAAGGGTCAAAGACCAAGGTTTGTGACCTTGCATCCATCTCATTTATGTGAACACAATTACTCAAGAAATGCTTGAGGGAATTTCTTCAAATTTTACACAAATATTCACTTGGACTACGTGCTGAACTGATTAGTTTTTGGTGGTCAAAGGTCAAGGTCAGTGTGACCTTGACCATTGACATTTGTGAAGGTTTTTGGCCATAATTGAAGAATCCACACACTAATTATGACAAAATTTCACTCAAAAAGTGATTACATTTTATATCCAAAAGGTCAAAGGTCACCATCACTGTGACATCATAATGTTCTGCAAAAACACTTTTCTGGTCATTATTCAGTGTCATAACTCAGGTATAGAGGGTGAAATATTTGGTCAGATACTTAATTGGTGACACTCATCTTAGGTGTCCACCTTGAAACTGTGCTGATTGTATAGATCTTCTGTGCTGTTGGGGGGGGGGGGGATATGTGTGAAGCATCCATGTTTTCACAGACATGGATGTAAACTGTGAGAGAAATTTGACTGGTGTGTGGAGGCATACAGCAGGGCAGTAATTCTAGTTTGGGCTTGTGGTACAAGCAAGCTAATATAGTTCAGTCAAAGAGGGGGACAGGTTGTTGTGCTTTACTTAATGCTTTATGCATGACAGCTGGGGAGTGTGGTCATCATTACATATAAAGTTCCATAGAAATGAATAAAGCCGAGAGTCTCTCTAATGTCTAGTTAGCATCTAGTGTTAGCGTCTAGTTAGCATTGGAGACAATACACGTCACTTCTCATCTGACCCCAACTTTTGGCCCAGATCTTACCTCCACTGAGGGACGTTGCCATCCGACCTGAGCAGGACACTACACTGAGAGGCCAGCTGGTCCGCCTAATGACCCACGTTGACACAGATGTGAAGCACTGTGCTGCTGAGCTGCTCTTTGTGCTCTGCAAAGAGAATGGTAGAGTCACAGTTCACCATTGAATCGTTTACTCCCATGGCTGTTGTGAAATTATTTTTTCTTAAAACACCTGTTTTGGCAAATAAAAGCTCAGTTTAGAGACATTGACCTCTTGCTGTCAGAGTCCTACAGAGGCTGCTGGGGGAAGCTCTAGGTAGGCTGTAATTCATGCCTACCATTCTTCATGTCGTTTCCTGTTAAATGGAGGCAGCAGAGGTGGTTGATAACAACTGATAATGCTAAGTGTTTAAGAGGATTCTCTGCAAACATGAACACATATGAATCAACAAAGACAAGCATTTGAACTAATAACTATGACTGCTCTAGAATTTTGTTAGATAGTACTGCTCCAATTTTAAAGATTGTTTTAATCATAAAATCTAAAAAAAACACTCAACAACAATGCTGCTCTGTACTAATCTATTTACTGGAGCTGGCATGCTGGAAAGTAAGAGTGTACTCTATCCAAACATTCATAGTTTTTCATTGCCTACAGACCATTACCAGCAAGTGCATATTTCAGGCCTTTATTAGAGGATTATGCTGCCCTACAAAGACTAAGCGCAATAAGTTTTGATTAAAACTGAGTAATGAGTGAAATTAAACCTATGGATATCTGTTCTATCTTGTGACAAATTTCCAAATCTGATCTTGTCCTGTTCTTGAGAAAATAGGATGTAAAAATTGTTGTTGACTGAGTTGTTTGACCAAGAATTAGTGAAGAAAATGTGGCGGCTCGACACATCTGTGACAAGACAGAGGAGGAGGACGTGGACCACACACAGACAAAGAGAGAGACAGTGTGGAGACAGAGATGGAGGACAGCTCACTCCCTTCATGCAGCTGCAGTGCGAAATGCAGGACAAGGGGAGAGAGAGTGGTGACAGATAAATAACTTCTGTGGAGAGCAATATTTTGCTATGCATAGAACAAAAAAAAAAAAAGACTTGGTGTGCAAGGTTTCTGTGCGTTACACTTTTTTCAAGAGATGGATGAAAAAATACATCTGAAAAAAAATTGGCCTCAGTGTGCAAAGGCCTTTAGTATAGTTACTGTGGTTAGCCTTTATAGGGCAGTATGGTGGAGGCTCTTATGACCACTGGTCAAAGTACCATTTGTAAGTGAAATCAATTTGCTACAATTAATTACTGTTAAACCCATGAAAAAGCTTTTTGAACTTTGCATCAAAAGATCAGCTGAACAACTCCACACAATTTCAGTGTCAAAAAAGTAAGATTTGCATCCTATGTCCCTTCACAGTTAGCCGCTTTGTCAAATATACGGGTTATGGCAACGCTGCCGGGCTGCTGGCAGCTCGGGGACTGCTGAATGGAAGAAGGAATTCAGGTGACAGCCAGTATGCTTCCCAGTACTCCAGTGACTCAGACTCAGACACAGAGGAGTACCGGGAGGCCAAAGCCAGGATTAACCTGGTGACTGGCCGGGTGGAGGCGGAGCAGCCTGACCCAATGGAGGGCATGACGGAGGAAGAGAAGGAGGAGGAGGCCTGCCGCCTCATCGGCATGATCAACAGACTGTCACGGTGAGTGTGCCCACAATGTAGGACAAATATTCTTTGGAGGATCAGAGAGAAACCAATGAAATGTTCTTTAACCCAGAGACCAGATCATTCAGCCAATGGGTGTGACAGCAGAGGGCAGACTGGCTCCACTCTGGGGCCAGATGAGGGACTGCACACTGGAGGAAGAAGAAGAAGATCCAGAGGAGAATTTGGATCTGATGCCGCAGGGGAGGAAAGACAAGCAGATGGAATAAAATGACGTGAACTAAAGAAGAGTAGACTAAGAGAGATTTGCACAGAGAGTGAAAAGCAGTCTTCTTTCCCCCACTTGACTGTAGTGCAATGAGTGTTTCCTGCTATATTAACACACTGTTAGCTCAGCTACTACAGTATAAAGCTGTAGGTCATTCACAAAGTTATATTGTTCTAAATGGGCATGTGCCTAACACTATGAGTGCACTGTGCAAGGTACGCTGCACCAAAAGTAAAAAAGAATTGGGTCTGAATGCAATCATTCACTGACCTTTCACAGATCAGCAAATGTCTGCAGTCTACTGTAAAAGATGGTGAAATTAACATGGTATTAGCTGATGTCTGATGTGAAAGTGGGACAGGCTGAGCCAGTGAAGATTGAAAAAATTGTATTTAGTCAGTTAGCAGCATTTATGTTATTTATGGTAGTTTTGGTGCAAAACTTCTGGCCACTTTTGCCAGGAGGTTTTTGTAGCATTTGTTGATGAATCAGTGTGCATTCATGGGAAAAGTTTAAAGTTTAAAGCTTGTGGATTTATTTCTCATGCAAAATCAAATAAAAATCAAGCCTTCTTAAATTCAGCATTACATCTCCTCAAATCGTGTTCTACATATACACTGTTACATTCACATGCAGAATTGCCAAGTATTGCCACAGTGAATTTGGGCCAGAACAACTGCTTATGTGTGTGGCGACACCACCTGTTTACAACAGGGTACATCACTTAAACAGTCACCAGACAGCTGTTGAGACGATAATCACATATCAGATATGAAATCTGGCATTACTTCTCTAATCTTCTCTTAACTTTTATGGATCAAATGACTTGCCCTGTCAGTGCACAAGAATTTTTCCTTCTAGTGCCAAATATATAATCCAGTATTTGGAGCAGGACAGGTAGCCAAATGTTCTGGTCCAAAGAGTGTTTAACATAGCATTACATAGCATACAATTCGTCATGATGCCATCAATTCTGATGGCATCTCATCTCTCATCCCTCAGTTTATGTATCATGAGAGATGTAAAAGAAGCTCATAAAAATATATTTGCAAGTGTAGCCGGTGCAGTGTTCCTTACTCCTCCCAGTGCAGGGCTCTGGCTTCACTGGTGTTCTACTGATTGCTGGGCGGCGCCGCGCACCTTTTATATACTGGTCTGGTCACACCTGCCGTCCCTCTCTTCTCTTCCGGTTCCACTCGTCCCCCGTGGTGGCTGTGGTCTGGCGTGGCGTGGTAGAGCCTGCGCAGGTGTGGTGGAACCATTGTGGCGTGGCCGTGAGCGCATCGGAGCGCTCTCTGGTGTGTTTTGACATCGTGGCGCACGTCTCCTCTCGCAGAATAACAGGTATGCGTACCGCTGTTCTTTCTCCCACTTACAGGTGTTACACCACCCGGCGTAAGCGTCAGCCGGCGTAGCGTTGCGGCGTATTCATTGGGGCTCCACTGACTGCGTACGGAACACGTAGAGAAGCCAGCGGGGTTGTTTACGTTTGCAGAGCCAAGAGGCTGCATGTAGGCTGCATGAGATGTTAAAGCATTTTCCACTTAAGTTATTATACA